GCCACGCCAGGGCCTCGCGGCTCTCGGCCCCGTGGGGCCCGTGCCAGGCTCGAGGGCCGTGGCAGCACTGCTCGGGATGCAAAGCAGCCCCCGGGGGAAGGGATCGGGGCGACCGGGGCCCCCGTCTGTCCGGAGGGGGCATGGAAACACACACACACACAGACAGACACACAGACATAGACACAGACACGGACACAGACACCATGATCTCGTCGATGCCCAGGAATAGATAGATAGATAGATAGATCGATAGATAGATAGACAGATAGATAGACAGATAGATAGACAGATATATAGATTATATATATATATACATATGGGGGGGAAGACGAAAACCCCGAAAATATCTGACAATGGTGGGAAACCAGGAATTTGTCTATTTATTGGTGTATCCTTGGGCCCCGTCAATCTGGAAGCAGTCAGGACGTCTGCTTTTTTAGGGGCCCCTGTGGGCTGCCAGCATCGTCCCCAACATGGGCCTCAGGGGGCCCATGCGCTGTGGGCCGACACGGGGGGTGGGGCATCCCCGACGGAGTGTCCGCTGGTGGTCCTCGCTGGACCCCCTCCGGCTGGCCCGGGTCTGGGGGCCGCTCGGAGCCGGGGTCCCCCCCCCCCTTCTGGAGGTTGGGAAGGCCCTTCTCTACCTCCAGAGGGGGGGGGGCGGGGGGCCACACCCTTTAAGGGTGTGGCATGAAGGGGTATGGTGCCAATGCTGGGTCTGGCGATGCCGTCCAGCGTAGATGGCATCTCGATTTCCACGAGTGGCCCCACGACCCTCTCTGCCATACCCCTTTTCCGACCTCCAGACCCCCCCTTCAAGCAGTGGCAAAGCGTCCCCCTGCTTGCCGATAGGCCCACCATCGGATATTCTAAGAATCTGTCGTTGTTTGCACGGAAGGGTCCGAGACCTTTCAGGCGGAGATTGTCTTGCTCTGGCACGTCGGCTTTATGTTCTGAGAGCACTGTTTTCCCTACCTAGGCTCTGCCTAGAAGGGTTCTTACTGTATAAGTTTAAAGGGCCGGGCAGTGTTCCACGCCCCGGGCGGTTCCCCCGGCATCCGCCCCGCGGTTCCCCCAGTTGCGCCCCCTGGGTTCACCCAGCTTAGTTTAGCTAAGCTTAGCTTAGCTTAGCTTATCTCATCTTAGCTTAGCTTAGTTTAGCTTAGCTTTGCCTAGCCTAGCTTAGCTTAGCTTAGCTTATTTTAGCTTAGCTTATCTCATCGTGTCTTAGCTTAACTTAGCTTGGCTTAGCTTAGCTTAGCCTAGCTTAGCTTAGCTTAACATAGCTGAGATTACCTTAGCTTAGCGCAGCGCAGCATAGCGCAGCGCAGCATTGACACAACATAGCATAACATAGCGCAGCATAGCATAGCATGGCATAGCATAGCTCAGCATATCATAGCATAGCACAGCATAGCGCAGCACAGCATAGCATATCATAGCATTGCTTAGCATAGCACAGCGCATCATATCATAACATAGCACATCACAGCATAGCATATCATAGCATATCATAGCGCAGCATACCATAGCATATCATAGTGCAACATATCATATCATGGTATAGCCTAGCATAGCATATCATAGCGCAGCATCGCATTGCATGTCATATCATAGCGCAGCATCGCATATCATATCATAGCGCAGCATATCATAACCTAGCATACCACAGCGCAGCCGAGCGTACCCTAGCATAGCATAGCATAACATAGCATAGCATAGCATAGCGCATCACAGCAAATCATAGCAACTCATAGCATAGCATAGCGCAGCATGGCGCAGCATAGCATAGCATAGCATAGCATAGCATAGCATAGCAGCAACGCAAAGGCAAATCAACGACTTCTAAGAGTTGGAATTCCTTTCCTAAATGCTCCCACTCCTAGGTAGGTTCGCACTGGGATCATGTAAAATCTTTTCTTGGTTCTGAGAACAAGTCTTGGTAGGCCTATAGGAATGCTGGGACGGTCGGTCCCTGTTCAACCCCCAGCCCTCCGCTGACTGGGTTAGCCCGCGTTCGTGGCCAGATGTGTGGCCAGCCCGCGTTCGTGGCACGGCCCTGGCTGGCCCAGGTTAGCGATGAGTAGGTCAGCGCGTCCCGAGTGGCCACCGTGAGCGCCTCGAGGGATTCAGGATTCAGTTTCGTTTACCCGATCCCTATCGCCATCCCGATCCCCACCATCCCACCATCCCAGTTGAGGATATGTCCCTAGAAACCCGAAGAGAACAGCCCGGATATCCATCAAGGGGGGGAAACTGGCCTGTGGAGCCCAGGCCACGTTGGTAGGAATAGGGATCATTTGAACGGTGTTCAAGGATATGGGAACGGACGGGAGGCAGGATGGGGGCGGAGCCGTTGAGGGAGAGAGGGGAAGGATGAACAGGAGGAGGAAGACGAGGACGACGACGACGACGACGATCGGCCTCGCGGTGCTGCTGGCGACCAAGAGGTGCACGAGGAGGAGGAGGAGGGGGACGAGAAGGAGGAGGAGGAGGAGGAGGAGGAGGAAGAAGAGGAGCAAGAGGAGGAGGATCACGGGGAGGAGGAGGAGGAGGAGGAGGAGGAGGAGGAGGAGAGAAAGACGAAGAGGAGGAGGAGGAGGAGGATGAGGAGGAGGAGGAGGAGGGGGAGGGGGAGGGAGGGGGGGAGGAGGAGCACGAGGAGGAGGAGGAGGACGAGGGGACCGAGAATGGAGAGGAGAATCTCCGATGTCTTGAGATCCCTTCCCCTCGTGTTGAGATCAGGAAGACGGGCGGATTGAAGACAGTAAGAGGCGAGGGTGTATCCATAATCACAGCGTTGGGAATATCTCTGGGTACATCGGTTGGCAATGAGTATACACATTTTTATATATATATATATATATAAATAACATATACGGTTGTGTATAAACATATATATATATATATACATATATAGTATTGGGCTCACCCCAAGGCTCGAATGTATCCATGTCCACCGTCTGCTGAATACCGATTCCCCAGGCGGTGGTTATGAATAAATCCCCGCCTCGCAGACGGGGTCTACAGTCTCGTTCGATGATTAGGTCGACCCTGTCAAATCACAGTTGCCCTTTGGTTTATTCAAGTGGCTTACGCCATTCCGCCCCCTCCAAGAAGGAGTCTGAGCTGGCGACGATCGTGGAAGTTCTCTAGTGGTCTTCGGCCCAACCCGCCACCGTTCGGGCTGTGGGTCAGGAGCCTCATGGATGAATCTGCGGGTCTCTTGGGATGACTCTCAGGGGCCTCTTGGAGGGCACTTGGGTGCATCTGGGAGCCTTGATGGGGCTTCTTGGGGGCCTCTGCAAAGCTTCTTGGGGGCGTCTTAGAAGCCTCTTGGGGGTGAGTCGGGGGCCTCTGGGGGGCTCCTGGGCAAGCTTGCAGGGAAAGGCTCGAAATATCATTCGTATTCCTCCACTTTGGCTCTCTTGGGCCCGCTTGGGGCTCTCTTGGGCCATCTTGGGGTCCACTTGGGCCGTCTCAGGGCCCGCTTGGGCCGTTTTGGGGCCTTATTTGGGGCCTTATCGGTCGTCTTGTGACGATCTTGGGGTTTCCTTGGGCAGTCTTAGAAGCTGTCAAGACGAAAAAGGCGAGTGTGCTGAAGCAGTATGTCTTCTTATTGGGAAGTTGTGTCCTTCTTGGCGGTCCTCTGGGAACACTTTTGGACCGTCTTGGGGGCCTTGTGGGCTGTCTTGAAGTCATCTTGGGTTGTCGTAGGGCTATTCTGGGCCGTCCCGGCGCTCTCTTCGACGGTCTTGGCGCTCTGTCTGGGTTGTCCTTGAGCTTTCTGGAGGTTCCGGAGGCCCCAGCGTGAGTTTAGGAGCTCCAACCCCTTCCCCCCCCCCGCCCGCCCCCCCCCAAAAATCGGATGTCAGGCCCCAAGGGGCAAAGTGAGAGGGGGAAAGGGGGTGGGGGAAAGGCAAGCTAGGTGCGCTCGCGTCATGTCTGACGTCCTACCCCTCCCTCCCATCCCTTACCGTTGCGTAGATCTCCTCTCTATTCGCACAGTCGGATGTCATAGCGGGGCATAGCATTACATGGTATAGCATAAGATCAACGCGTAACCTGACATAGCATGGCGTGGCGACTCTCCACAGTTTGGGGGGGCTTCTGCGGCCCCAAAATCAACGAATCGGCTCCGAATGTGTAATCATTTCCGATGGTTGTTGCGGGGGGGCATTTTCTAGATTTGGGGCCTTTTTGGCAGAGCAGACAACCATGCCGTGACATGGCGCTGGAAGTAATGATGCCAGCGCTGCAGCGGGAACACGATTCGGAACGAGCGGTGGCCCGAAAATGAAGCACCTCAGCGAGAGTAGCAATTTCAAGAAAAAACAAACAAAGCGAAAACCCGTTACCTGGGAATCCTGTGTGCAAAAAACTTGTGTGCGGAGGGGGGCCGGCCATTTCCCGGACGTCATTTGGGGAGAGAGGAGAGTAGTATTCAAAGTGAGTAATTGTAGAGGGAAAGGGGGAAAGGGGAAGGGGAAGTGGGAAAGGGGGAGGGGGAAGGAGGGACGGGGAGGGGGGGAAAGGGGGAAAGAGGGAAGGGGGAGGGGGGGAAGCACCCCCAGCAGGCGGGGGTCGGCGGTGCTGGGCCTCGCAGATGGGGTCTGAGGGGACCGCGCCGCATCGCCGATGCATGGGCGAAGCGGCTCGGTGTGCATGGGCCAGACCTTCCACGCCGGCGTCGCCGACGCACCGCCGTCGTTGCCGATGCATCGTCGATGCACCCGCGATGCGGCGCGATCCTCCGACCCGATCTGCTCAGACCCTCCTTGGGAGGCCTCCGGTGTTCCGCGGCCCATGCTGTCTGCACTCCTGCGGCAACGTGGACCTCGGAAGGGTCTCGTGTCCTCTCGCGCGTTCTCTCCAATCAAGCTCGACTGCTGCAGACGGGGGGGGAGGAGAGCCAGCAGTTCCCGGGAGGGAGGCAGCGGGCGTTCGCAGACGGCGGCACGCTCCGGAGCCCTGCTCCCCCCCCGCCCCCCGCGGTGCAGGCTCGGAGCGCAGCCCGGCTTCCCCGGGCAGCCCGGCCAGGCTCGGGGGCGGGTGCCAGCTGCACTTGGCACTTGGCGGCGCGCATGGGAGGGACTCGTTGTATACACCGCGCCAGTTGGTCGGGCAACGTCAGAGGAGCGCCAGGGTACCGATACATCGCTGTGCCTCGTTTCCGCCTTGTGGGGGCCTCCTGGGAGGTCCGCTCGACGCCACCGCTGGATGCCCCTCGAACTTTGGTCATGACGTACCCCGGGAGAGGTCCGGGGAGTAGCTGCATCGGTACCTTTTGGTTCCCCTACAATGGGCTCAGGAATTTGACGAAGGAGCTCAGTGTATGCAGTCAACCCGCATACTACGGATGAGCAATTTTCCAAGGTTGCCCTTGCAACCCTCCCCGTCGGCCCATCCTTGGCCGCTTTCGCTGGCGGCGTCCCGCTCGCGAAGTGTCGACATGGGCTTCCAAGGCCCTTGCATCCGTATCGTGCGTCCTTCTGATAATGGGGGCAAGCTCTTAAGAAAATGCCCGCGCGCCGAGAAGTGGGGCGTGTCTTACATCGAAAACGCGAGACTGCCAGACTGATAAGTAGCATTCACTCGGGCATGTCCCTCTAAAGGAGGAGTATTCACAGATACTCCAGAAGTAGTCTGGGGACGATGTTTCGACCATGTTGATCATTCTGGTGTGTATTGCTTGACTGTTTGGAGGGGGGGACTTTCCGTCAAAGCTCCGCCCGTAGGTGGGTATGCCCGACCTAAACGTAGCACCCCGCATTTGCGGACAAGAGTGAGGGGGGAAGCCCGCCGCGGGCGCCTTTTTTTTCTAAAAATTATGCAACCCTTGGCATCGCTCGGACGTGTGCGTTTCTTCCTCGGCGAGGACCATCGAGGAGCATCCTTGGTCATTTGGCGAAAAAGCCACGCACGAAACCGGAAAAAATAGACTCAGGGAATGGACGTCCGAGCGATGGCGAGAACCGGCCCGCCGCGCGGGCGCCGATTCTCTCGCGAAAGCAGTGTGGGTGGGTCGCGGGTGGGTCGCGGGTGGGTCGCGGGTGGGCCGCGGGTGGGCCGTGGGCGGATCGCGGGTGGATCGCGGGTGGGTTGCGGGTCGGTCGCGGGTGTGTCGCGGGCTTGGCCGCGGCTTTGTCGCGAGTGGGTCGCGGATGGGTCGCGGGTGGGTCGCCGGCCGGTCGCGGGTGGGACGACGACCTCGAACAACGAACAACGCAAAAACCACAACAATCCGCATCGTGGAATTTCGTTTCAGCTACGCGCCCAGGGACAGTGAATGATCGTTCAGCTCCCTCACTCTGATGACAATCGTGCTATGGTTGTATGCTCTTTGACTGGCATTCATAGCCTCCAGGCGAGCCCCAAGACCCCGAGACGGCTTCACGACGGGCTCATATCATGAGTTCGGGTCCCCAAGAGTGCATCCAGGACCTCCGGAAAGGTCGCGCGGCGACCCCCAGGAGTTCCAGGGAACCATGAGAGCTGATGGCACGGGGCCCTTACGTGTTCTTTCGCAAATGCATTCAGGAGGGAAAGAAACACACAGACACAATTAATCGTCGATCCTCAGAAAATATGGGAAAATATGGGAAGTGGTGTGGAAGACAAAAAACCAGAAAATATGGGAAAATATGGGGAATTCTTTTATTTGTGTGTATTTATTTGTGTGTCCCAGGGCCCCTTCATGCATGCGTGAGTGTTGGGGGATTTGGGGACCCGTTTGCAACATTGGGGACGCTCAACTCGGTGCCAGTGGCACGGTGGCGGATGGACCGATCTCGGGTCTGGGCTTGGTTTGGCCTCGGTCGGTGTCGGCTTGAGTGGGGCATGTCCCTCTACAGGAGGACTTCTCAAGTGCAGTCAACAAGGACTCTGGGGGCGACTCTGCGACTCCTCTTGATTGCTGTGGAGCGCTTTCTGACTACTTTTTTGTCTTTCACTTGTCCTCGCAGGTCCGCCTGCTGGCTTGACATCGCTCGGACGTGTGCATGTTTCCTTCGGCGAGGACCCTCGAGGAGCGTCCTGGATCATTTCGCGAAAAGACCACGCACGAAACCGAAAAAAGCACAGGGAATGGACGTCCGAGCGATGGCCTGGAAGGCGTTCGGGTTGGAGGGACTTGTAGGAGAGGGGCCTCAGTCTGAGCTCCTCGTGACCGCGCGCACGAAACCACGCAAAAAAACACTGGCCTTTGCCGAAAAAAACACGCACGAAACCGAAAAAAGCACAGGGAATGGACGTCCGAGCGATGGCCAGTGTCCGTGCACACTCCGCGCCCCCCCCGCCGCCAGGCAGGCCAGCAGTTCGCGCCGGCGGGGCGCCCCGCGGGCGGCGAAGACCGTGCACAGCCCCGGCCACGCCCTCGCGCGTCTGGATGCCTCGGCCGCGGCCCCCCGCGGACGCCCGCCGCGCGGGACGCCCCCCGCGCGGAGCGCCTCCGCGAGGTCGAGCCTCCATCCCAGACCCCCTCGAGTAATGAAAAAATCATGACGGGATGTTTTTCCTAATTTTCGGCCTCCGGGGGCCCTCACCGGGCCTCGGGAGCGTCAAAAAACGACTCGGGATGCAAAGCCGGTCATGGGGAAAGGGTCCAGACCTCTGGGGGTCGACGCAATGAAAAAATCATTACGTCGGGGGTCTGGGATGGGATCGCGCCCGAGTGCAGTGGAGGCCCGACCGCCGGGAGCCTGCCGCAAGAGGCCCAGCCCCGAGGCCCCCAGGGCGCTCCTCGGGTTTGGTGCGGGGGAGCGTCACGCCCTCCACGGCCGAAGCAGCGGTGCCCCAGGAGCCCAGGGCGCCCTGGAGGCAAGCGGGGTGCTCCTCGGCGTGGGCCTCCACCGCATCCAGACCTCGAGGGCATTGTTGTGGACGTGTCCGGCATTCGCGAGGCAAGCTGGGGTGTATCCGCCGCCGCCGCCGCCCCCGCAGCAGCATTCCATGGCGGAAAGTATCAAGGCCGCGGCGGCGGCCGCCGCCGCGGCCATGGCCGCGTCCGCGGAGAAGGACGCCCTACAGCCTCCCATCCCGCTTGGCAGGGGAGGATAGAGAAGCGATAACAGGAGGAGGCGATGGGGACCAGGATGTCAGCGTTTCGGTCCTTTCGGCGGCGCCCAGGTCGATTGCATTCAGTCGGTTGTTGCGTTGTTCCCGCGTCGTGGCGTCCTTCTGGGCTGCTTAAGGCACGTCGGTTTCGACCGGCTTCGATTTCGCTGTCGATTCGGTCGGTGTTCGGTTGCTTCGCCGGGAGGAGGAGGAGAAGTAGCAGAAGGAGGAGGAGGAAAGGGAGGAGGAGGAAAGGGAGGAGGAGGAGGAGGAGGAGGAGGAGGAGGAGGAGGAGGAGGAGAGGAGGAGGAGGAGGAGGAGAGGAGGAGGAGGAGGAGGAGAGAGAGAGGATGAGGAGGGAGAGGAGAGGAGGAGGAGAGGAGGAGGAGGAGGAGGAGTAGGGGAGGGAGGAGGAGGAGGAAGGAGGGGAGGAGAGGCTGGGAGAGGAGGAGAGGCAGGAGGAGGAGAGGAGGAGGAGGAGGGGGATGTTCTTCCTCGGCGGCGCTAGGCTGCAGCCGAAAAGCCGCGTCGGACGTTTTTCATATGTTCAGATTCGATGTGAACATCCAGCTAGGATGCCCCCCCTCTTTTGGCCATCTCCTCACGTATCTCCCTTGTATCACGTTCATCCTTCCTCTACGTTGTCCTTCCCCTCCCCTCCTTATTCCTCCCTTCCTCACCCCCCCAGTTCCCCGACGTGGGGTTGTCCCACCCATCCTGTGTTGAATTGGGCCCTTGTTTTGGAGAGACATCTCCACGTCTCCTTCCTCCTTTATTCGTCCCACTCCTCCCTCCTCCCATTCCTCCTCACATTTCGTGCCCCTGCCCTCCGCATGTTTCTGTTTCGGCACAACCCTCACATGTTTCGTGGCCCCACAGGGAGCTCCACCGAAGGTCCCATTGGCGCAGTTCGCACGAGTTCCCGACATTCATTGCGGCTTCCTCACACGCTTCGTGGCCCCATGGGGAGCTCCACCTAAGGTCCCAGTGGTGCAGTTCGCTCCCAGTGGTGTAGAGCTCTACCCCTCAGTGGCAATGCGGCCCCACCATCAATGCTGGTACACCCAGAACACGCTTCGTGTCCCCATGGGGAGATCCACACAAGGCCTGCGTGCCACCGCCCGCATCCGTCCCCGCCGCCCATTGCGGCACACCCCTCACCCGCTTCGTGGCCCCATAGGAAGCTCCACCGAAGGTCCCAGTGGCGCAGTTCGCATGAGCCCCCGCCACCCATTTCGGCACAGCCCTCACACGTTTCGTGGACAGTGGCGCGGTTCGCATGTGGTCCTGCCACACATTTCGGCACACCCCTCACACGTTTCGTGGCCGCGCAGGGAGCTCCACCGAAGGTCTTGGTGGCACAGTTCGCATGCGTTCCCGGTACTCATTCCAGCTTCCTCAAAAGCTTCGTGGCCCCGTAGGGAGCTCCACCGAAGGCCGCAGTGGCGCAGTTCGCATGCGGTCCCGCCACCCATGTCGGCACACTCCTCACACGTTCCGTGGCCTCACAGGGAGTTCCACCTAAGGACCCAGTGGCGCAATTCGCTTGCGGCCCCGCCACGCATTTCCGTACACCCCTCACACGTTTCGTTGCCCCATCGGGAGTTCCACCGAAGGCCCGAGTGCCACCGCCCGCATCCGTCCCCACCGCCCATATCGGCACAACCCTCACACGCTTCGTGGCCCCACAGGGAGCTCCACCGAAGGTCCCAATGGCGCAGTTCGCATGCGGTCTCGCCAACCACTTCGGCACACCTCTCACACGTTTCGTGGCCAGTGGCGCAATTCGCATGCGGTCCCGCCATCAATTTCGGCACAACCCTCAGTCCCCCGTCCATTTCGGCACACCCCTCACACGTTTCGTGGCATGGATGGAGCTCCACCGAAGGGCCGAATGCCACCGCCCGCATCCGTCCCCGCCACCCATATCGGCATTACCCTCACACGCTTCGTGGCCCCATAGGGAGCTCCACCGAAGGTCCAATAGGCGCAGTTCGCATGCGGTCCCGCCACTCAACTCGGCACACCCCTCACACGTTTCGTGGCCAGTGGCGCAGTTCGCATGCGGTCCCGCCATCAAGTTTGACACCCCCCTCAGTCCCCCACCCATTTCGGCACACCCCTCACACGTTTCGAAGCATGGATGGAGCTCCACCGAAGGCCCCAGTGCAACCGCCCGCATCCGTCCCCGCCACCCATTCCGGCACACCCCTCACAAGCTTCGTGGCCCCATGGGGAGCTCCACCGAAGGCCAAAGTGGCGCCGTTCGCATGCGTCCCCGTCACCCATGTCGGCACACCCCTCACACGTCTCGTGGCCTCATAGGGAGCTCCACCGAAGGCCCCAGTGGCGCCGTTCGCATGCGCCCCGCCGCCCAGTTCGGCACACCCCTTCCACATGTCGTGGCCACACAGGGGGCTCCACCGAAGGTCACTGTGCTAGGGTTCCCCTGGCGCTCACCGTCCACCGCATGTCCACCTCGGCACGCCCTTCACACGCTTCGTCGACCCATAGGGGGTTCCCCTCTATTCGCCTCACCTGCCTTGCGGTACGGTCAGACCGAGGTATAAGATAGAGAGCGGTTCGGGAAGGGTTTCCTAGTTGTTTTCGTGTTTGTTGGATGATATTGTGCACCTTGGGGGAGGGTACCTCCGAATGTTCTTCTGTTTGGTCGGCGGGGGGTCTCATGTTCTTGAAGGTTGTTCGTCTGTCTCTGGTTCAGCAGTATTCGTTCACGACGGCGGGTTTCTCCGCTGGTTTTCCCTCTGGACGTCTCCAGGGTTGCGCGTTGATTGGAATCGCAATGCTGAGATCTGTCCCCACAGCAGAAACAAACGCGAACCTCCCCTCCCCCCTTCGTCGCCGCAACTCTGCTGTGATTCATTGCGGCCCGTTGACGGATACGGGCTTCCTTCTCCTCAGGGGGGGGGGGACGAGGGTCAGGAGTCAAACAAAAAAGGACGAGGGAGGATCAGGGGCACAGGTGCCCACGTGGCATTCTTTCGATATTTTTCGGGGCACTCGAAATTATGTTTGGGATGCGATCCGCCAGCACGATGGGAACAACATTATCTGAGAGGTCTTCTGCGCCTGCGGGGAAGGCCCAGAAAGCTTCTGCCAAGGCCGGGGGACCTCCGAGCCTTCTGAGACGGCCCGCCCCTTTTCGCCTCCAGCCCCCCTCGCTCGCCGCCGACGGTGACCCGTGCCGCTCTGCCGAGCGCGCCTCGGCGGGGTGACGGGGCCTCCGCGGTCCCGGAGGCAGAGCGGTGACGGGCCGCGCCCTGGGGGGTTCTGGGGGATGCGGAGGTCACCGTGCGCTGCGTCGCTGCACCGCTGCGGGCCCCCAGGAGGAGGGGGCGTAACTCTAGACTGCGCATGGCGCCGAGGCCTCTGCACGCGTTCGTGCCCCGCGCGACACCACCGCAGTGCTCGGGGGTGCCCTCCAGCGCTCGCCTGAAGCCGTGCAGGCAGCTGCTGGGAACCCACATGTACACGATGCGTGCTACCCTCTGCTGCCCTCCTCCCTGCATGCCCACCCCTGCGCTCCCACCAGTCGCCACAGCTTCGGAAAAAAAAAGAAAAAACAAAAACAAAAAAAAAGCCAGAAGCTTAGCGCTTCAAGTTGTCTGCCGGTCCACGTGACCACGCGGCCGGGAGAGGAGACAGATTCGGAGGACGAGAATCCAGAGGAGGAGGAGGAGGAGGATGAGGAGGAGAAGAAGCAGGAGGAGGAGGAGGAGGAGGCGGAGGCGGAGGCGGAGGCAGAGGAGGAGGAGCAGGCGAAGGCGGAGGAGGAAGCGGCGGCGGAGGAGGAGGAGGAGGCGGAGGAGGAGGCGGCGGCGGCGGAGGAGGAGGAGGAGGATGCCTTGGCCACACCCATGGGGGGTATCGCCCTCTTGGAGGTGCGGCGGAGGTGTCTGCCGGCGCCCGATCACGCGGGCGCCCGCGGCGCAGACCCGGGTTCGCTCGGGAGGAGGAGAGGGAGGAGAGGGGAGAGGAGCCCCTCCCTTGGGAGCCATTTCGACTGTCGATTCGCGTCGGTTCGGTTTCGAGGATTCCGATCACGATCCGATTCGATTCTGGATTTCGACTGTGGATTGCGTTCTCTGGGTATGCTTCGGCTCGGGGCATCCTGCCCCCCTGGCGACGCAGCTCCAGAGAGGGGGCGGCCGTGGCCACATCGGCGGAGAGGAGCGCGTTGCATGGAGCCGTCTGGGGGCTGAGGTGGCCCAGCATTTGGTTCCGGCCAGCAGAATGAGCGGGCAGGTTGAAGGCGTTGGGTTCGGGGGTTCCGCCTCTTGCGGCCTCCGGACTCCGTCTTCGGGCCGAGAGCCCGCGAAAAGCGGATTGGCGATGAAAAACTGTACCAGATTGACCCCGGGAGGAGTCCAGGGACTGATTCTGAACGGATTTGGCCCCATCCCCCCTTGAACGGATTTGGCCCCATCCCCCCTTCTGATCGAATCACTCGGGAGTCCCAACCAGTTCAGACCCCCGCGCCTTGGGCGTCGCGTAATGGGGGGCGATACATGGGAGGCAGCGAGGACTGCAGAAAGGGGACCAGTTCGGCCCCAAAGGGGGCCTTCGGGGCCCGTAGTAGAGTGTACCTTTCTTCCCCTCTTCATTTATCGCCCCCCCATTAAGAGACACCCAAGCGCCGCCTCCAGCGCTCCCTGTCGACTCAACTCCAGGGGCAGAGGGGCGCGTTGTGCCACCTCGTTCCCCCCTGGCCGCAAAGGAGGGCAAGCACCTCCATACCTTGGCGACGCGGCCAAGGGGGCGGCGCCGGGGGGGCGGCCTCATGAGAGGGCGGGGGCTTCTCAGAGGGCAGGTGCCCTCATTAGAAGGGCCCGGCTGCTGACAGGAGGGCCCGTATAAGGAGCAGGGAGAGCTCCTGGAAGACGGCGTCCAGCCCTCTTCCGCCTCCGTGGCATGCCTCCCCCCTCGCGCTGGCCCCTCGTGGCGCGCCGCCAGGCCTCCACGCCCTGTCCCCCAGCGCCCCTCGGCGCGTGTCCGATCCACGGGAGTTTTCCCTCCTCCTCCTCCTCCTCCTCCTCCTCCTCCTCCTCCTCCTCTGGAAATCTTGTCCGCAGCTCGCCATGGAGCAGCGCCGTCGCGCACCACGGCCCAACACCTCGCAGCACCGCTCGGCACCGCTCAGCATCGCGCAACACCGCGCCCTCCACTGAGCGGTGCCGCGCGGCGTGCGTTCCCCAATCGCCTCAGACTCAGGGGGCGAGCGGGCCGAGGTTCGAGGTCTTCCGGCGTGGTCTCCGGACCTCGCCGAGGGCCCCCTCCGAGGGTGCCCGGCCCGGCCCGCATCGCCCCGAGCAAGTCGGAGACCCGAGTTGTGTGACCCGAGAACCCGCCCTCCTCTCGTCGTTCAGGAATCAAGGGGCCCAAGGACACGCAAATAAATACACACAAATAAAAGGATTCCCCATATTTTTCCACATTTTCTGGGTGTCTGTCTTCCCCCCCACTTCCCATATTTTCCTATATGTTCAGGGGAATCGAGGATTAATTGTGTGTGTGTGTTTCTTCTCCTCCTGAAACAACTGATGTTGTTCCTCGCAGGGGCAGCGTTCGGGTGCGATGCAGGCTCGGGGGGGCGTATCGACCCCCAATCGCCCGTCGATCGCCTACAGGGGGCACGACAGCCCGCGCCGCGCAGGACCGCCCGGTTCCGCCCTCGGGGGCCTCCTGCGCCGATCTTGTGGCGACGTATCGACGACTCCGGGTCGATGCTGCGCCCCTTGAGTTGGCCCCCCATCTGACTCTGCCCCTCATCGAGGGCCTGGGATTTGCTCTCGGCATGCCTGCGCTTCTTGACCTCTACGTTGGTGGCCAGACCAGTGCGTCCCACCAGGCGTTGGTCCCCCCCTGACGCTGCCCCTCACGATGGGTCGGACACCTAAGTACTCCAGGTTTCGTAATAAAGGGAGGGGGTCTCATTTCGGGGGGGGTCTCTTCCAGGCTATCTTGGAGGGCCTGGGGGGGTCTGGGGACGATGTTTTGGAGGGTTCTCCCCCGAGGGGGGGGGGGGTCTGAAATGGCTTGTCTTGGAGGGTCCAGACCCCCTCCCTTTTATTACGAGATCTGGAGTAGCTCTCGCCCGCCCCCGCCGCGCCCAGGAGGCCGCCGCGGCCAGCGCCGCCGCCGCCAGCGACGCGGGCGCCGCGGCGGAGTTCGGGGCGCGGCTGGACTCGCTGAGGAGCGCTCGGAGAGAAGACCGCGCCCTGCGCTCGCCGAGGCGGCGAAGTCCGAGCCCCACGCTCGCCGACTGACGCTGCGGGCGACTTTCGAGGGGCGGCGCGGGGTGGGGGCTCGGAGTTCGTCGAGCACGCGGTGGAGGTCCGAACCCTACCCCCACCTCCTCCTCCTCCTCCTCCTCCTCCTCCTCCTCCTCCTCCTCCTCCTCCTCCTCCTCCTCCTCCTCCTCCTCCTCCCCTCCTCCCCCTCCCCCTCCCCCTCCCCCTCCCCCTGCCCTTCGCCCGTTCTTCCCTTGTCGGGCCTCCTGGGAGGCCCTCGTCGCCGCCGCTGGACTCGCCTCGAACCCCTGGCCAGAACGCACTCCAGGAGAGTCCATCGATTCAGGAGAACACATGGTTGGTCGGGGTTTGGGTTCGGATGTCGCCACCTTTCAGGTCGTGCGTGCGATCGCAAGCCGTGTTACTAACACGGCTTGCAATCGCACGCACGACCTGATCAACAGATCAGGATGGACTAACTGAGTCCATCCTGATCTGTTGATTGCGACCCATCTTTTTGACCGGAGGAACATGTGCGTGTGTGTGTGTATATGTGCGTGCGTGCAAGTCCGCATCCACAATATTGGTTGAGTATGGCTTGTACGTGTCACACTAGAATTTTCGCGACTGGTGTCACTTCGCCATCGGAGGAAAAGTGCGTATGTGTGTGTGTGTGAGTGGGTGGGTGGGTGAGTGTGTGGGTGTGTGTATGTGTGTATGTGTGGGTGTGTGGTTGTGTGGTCGTGTGCGTTTGTGTGTGTGGGTTTTGGGGTGTGGGGATGCGGAGGTGTGGGGGTGTCGGGGTGTGAGGGTATGGGGGTGTAGGGTTGGGGGTGGGGCCGGTGGGGACGTGGGGGCGGGGAGCTGGGCCCCCCCGCCCCAGGGGCCCACTCACCGGTGCGGAACCGCTCTCGCGGGCGAGGCATCTGCAGGCCGGCAGGGAGGCGCGAGAGGAGATGCAGGTCGGTACACACCAGGGGTCAAGGGGTCCAGAATTCTTCGGAAAGCTTGAAACTTCAGTCCTCCTCCTCCTCCTCCTCCTCCTCCTCCTCCATCTCCTCTGGAGGGTCCTTGCCAGGCCAGGGGACCATTAAAAAGGCAACTCAGGATGAAACGCCGGCCTTTCGGGCGAGGGGAGTCACTGCGGGCCGCGGGGGTCCTGTCTCCCTTCGAGAGACTAAGACAAAGCAGATGTCTGGATCTGTTCTGAATCGTGTAAGCCCTCTCCTGATCAAAGCAGTAGAACAAGCAGGCAAACGGCAAGACTCCTTGCGCCGCCGGAGCTCCCAGGAGAGAGCGGCCCGGCGTGGACGTCCCGCCCGAGGTGTGGGGCTGGACGCTGCTGGAGGTGGAGGCGTACTTTGCCAGCGGGGGAGCGGCGATCCGGGGCAGCGGCCGGGGGGGGCGGGCTCGGGGGGGAGCGCATCAACCACCAATCGCCCCCACGGATCGCAGACAGGGCTCTGATATCAGGCGGTCGCGAACATGGATCCAGGGGGCGTGGATTAGCGACGGGTCCCGCCTCCATGGGGAATCGCGGATCTCCGCCGCCGAGCGAGGCGGCAGAGGCCGCATTGTGGGGAGGGCACCTCCCCCGATCCATGGATTTGCCGACCGCGCGCCAAAGCCATGGATCGCTAATCCACGTTTGCGCGCCCCCGAGGGGGGAGCGCATCAACCACCAATCGCCCCCATGGATCGCAGACAGGGCTCTGATAGCCCCACCCCGCCTAGGAGCGTGCGGGTTCGCCATCGGGGGCCTGCAGCCAGACCGCACAGTAAGAAGGAGCAACCTTCCGAGACTATCCTTGCATCCTTGCCCCTTCGGCCCATCCTTGGCGACAACCTCGTTCGAAAAACGGTGACTTGGCCCTCCAAGGCCCTTGCACCTGCGTTGAATCGAGGAACAAAACGTACAATGTGCCGTAGATCTACGGAGCCTTCCAGGTATTCTCGCAGATTTGATTGAACATCGATTCTGGGGCAAATCGATTATGTAGTCGATCCCCTACTCGATATATGGGTTGGCTGTATCGACGACGTGGAAGGGGCGATGCATCGCCGCTTCCAGGTCGGTGTTCCCAGGAGGGGGGGTGGGCCGTCTTAATGTCACAGGTGCCTCTGTTGTCACTGGACCAATCATAAAGAATCACTTGCCTTGTCATGGGCATTGCAATCGAGGAGGTGGGTCCTTGTGGCAAGCGGCTCCCAGGAAGCAGGAAGCAAGTAGGCGTCAAGGGTCGCAATCCCCGCGCTGGGGCCACGGAGAGGGTGGGTCCCCGTGGCGAGCGGCACCCCGGACCTTCGACTGGCCCATCCCCCCTCCTACAGTGGAGACCCCTGCCAAGAGCCACCCTGCTTGCCTCCAGGGTGCCCTGGGTTTCTTGGGTTTCGATGGTCTTGCCCTGGAAAACGTGACGTTCCCACTCCAAAAATCAGTGGACGCCCTGGGGTCTCAAGGTTGGTTAACTTGTGGAAGGTTTCCTGTGGACTGGCATCCACTGCATGTTCCCCCCCCCTGTGAGTGAGCCAGGGCTGAGTCGGGCGTGCCCTTCTGCAGGATTAATGTTCCCAAATAGTCCAAAAATAGTCAGGGGACGATTCTCCTACAATTTTTGACATGTGCTAGAACATTCTGGTTTGACTGTCTTGTTTTCTGACGCCCCAAATCCGCCTGTATGGCTGTGGAGGACGATCAATGGAGAGGAAGCATGTTGCCAAATCATCTCCAGATGTCTAAAAGACGTAAAAACATGTTTAACACGTGTACAGCAACATGTTTAAGCCATGTTTGTAGGTAATGGTTGTCCGACGTGTTAAACACATGTTCTAATTCAATGGTAGGACTGATAGGGTGTCCATTGTCGTGGCATCCACAGCTGTAGGGGGGGGCACGCCCGACCTAAAAGCCCGCCCCGCGCCGACCGTGGCCCCGCAGGTGAGGCCCCGCGCGGCGGAGCGGAAGGCCGCCGCGCCGAGGAGCCGCGGCCGCTCGGCCCCGACCCCGCCCCCCCAACGCTCATGGGGGCGCGCCTCCGCCACTGCAGAGGCGTCGCCTCCACGTGCGTCGTCCTCCTCTCCCTCCCCTTCCTCCCCTTCCTCCTCCTCCTCCTCCTCCTCCTCCTCCTCCTCCTCCTCATCCTCCTCCTCCTCCTCCTCCTCCTCCTCCTCCTCCTCCTCCTCTCTCCTCCTCTCCTCCTCTTCCTCCTCCTCCGCCTCCTCCTCCTACTCCTCCTCCTCCCTCCTCCTCCTCCTCCTCCTCCTCCTCCTCCTCCTCCTCCTCCGCCTCCTCCTCCTCCTCCTCCTCCTCCTCCTCCCTCCTCCTCCTCCTCCTCCTCCCCTCCTCCTCACTCCTCTCTCCTCCTCCTCCTCCTCCTCCCTCCTCCTCCTCCCCCTCCTCTTCCTCCTCCTCCTCCTCCTCCTCCTCCTCCTCCTCCTCCTCCTCCTCCTCCTCCTCCTCCCTCCGCCTGCCCCACAGCCTCCGCGTCCAGAGGGCGCGAAGAGCGGCGTCATTCGGCAGCGAATCATGGGAGCCCTGTGCACCCTCGCAGTTCTGTCTTTCGCGTCGACTGGCGTCGATTAGCGTCTGGTAGTCGACGAGATAGCTCCGACTTACAGTCGGTCCGGATTAGTAGGTCGACCCTGCCAAAACCAGGGTACCTTCGTGTCCTGTGCCTCGCGACCCATGCCTCTTGCATTCCTGTGTCTTGTGTCGTCTCGCGTGTCCTGTCCAATCGAGTCCGACTGTAGCATCGATTTGCGTCGATGTAGCGTCGACTAGCGTCGATTCGCAAGAGCCGACAAGATGGTATGTGGGGCTCCCATGAGTTGCCACCGGAGTATCAAATAAACTGTTCTGCCGTCAGGGACTCGGGCGGGTGGTACAGTCGGAAGGACGTATCAGATCGAGGTCGGTCCCCGGGGAGGGTGCCCAAACGCTCCTCGTTTGTGTGTGTGTGTGTTGGATGCTCGGGTGCATCCCGGGAGGGGTGCCCTCGAAGTTTCTGTGCTTTGGCCAGCGGAGGGTCTCATGTTCTTGAAGGGTGTTATTCTGCCCTAGGTCTGGCCGTATAAAATACCCGTCGGTCGTTCAAAGTGGGTATTTTGGGACGCCCAAGTCCCAACCTATTTTAGCCGCCTTCCTACAACAAGAGTCGAGTGGTATTCCCTCTGCCCTCGTCCTCAGGGGGCGGGCGGAAGCCCAATTATTTCCAACGCCTTCCGACCGACGGATCAACTGTTCCGCCGTCGGGGACTCGGGCGGGTGGAAATGAGCGGCGGCCCACATGGAGGATGAGGAAGAAAAACCAGGCTGGCGCCAAAAGGGGCCCCTGAAGGGCCCCTTCAGGGTCCTTCTCTCCGCCCCAGATGTCGGTCATCCCCCAGAGCCACCCGCCCGAGGGACGCCTGCCCCACGGCGGCTGCAAAGTTTATGCTACCACGTGCCACAGCCGTTCCAGCCGCCGTGGGCCATGCGTCCCCGACGGCGGCACGGTTTATTGGGCGGGCCCCCGGCCAGTGCCGCCGATCCGGGGGGGGTCTTGAGCTCCGGAATTGGAGTTTTCTATACCCCCCTGTCCCCGGGTACCGAATGACGTCGGAAATGACGCACGCCCCCCCCCCCTGCAGAGCGAAGCTTGAGCGAGCTCAAGTCCACGCTCTCAGAAACTCACACGCCGGATCGGCGGATTTCACACCGCCCTTGGCCCCCCCACCACGCCTCGAGGAGCTCAGTGCGGAAGTGGTGCGCTGCTTTTTCTGCCCCATGGGGGCCCTCGCCGGGCCCCGGGGCCGCCCGCGAGCAGCTCGGGACGGAGAGCCGGCCCTCGGGGAAGAGGTCCAGAGCTCCAGGGGGCCCCGCCGCGAGGAGTTCCAGACACCATCATGTCCGCTCGGGGCGACCGAGGTGGGTGCGGAAGGAGTGGGGTCGAAGACCGACCGCGGGTGAGCGTGTTCTTACTCGGCGTTGCGGCCTTGGGCGGAAGTGGGGAGGGGAGGGAGGGAGGTCTGTCTCCCGATTTCGGTTTGATGCGACTGTTTGCAACCGTGCGTCCTGTGCGGGAGACTCCACCTGCTCGAACCAGGCGCCCCAAACAGCTAATTAGGATCTACTCCATGAGGGGGAAGGGGGGGGTGCGAGGGCCCGCACCGATCGGCAAAAGAACAAATACGATGACGATCACCAGTTCTGGTTTATGTTTGACAGGACTCGCCGTCGGCGTCGGCGTTGACGTTGTCCGTTTGAGGCAAAAGATCGCCTGGCCAACTACGGCCGGTGTCGAAATTCGACTCAATTTGCTTTGGGGCATCGTGCCTTTTTCTCCATGTCCATGTCGTAGGTGCTCGATCCTGGACCCCATGTTCACTGCGACTATCCAGCTATCGCGCCGACAACCACCAGAAACCGACAAAGACTGCCGAAGACCCTCAGCAAAACCTCCGAAGACCGCCAGAAGACCCCCGAAGACCAACCAGGGCTCGTGGGCAGCAAGAAACCCTTCGTCGAATACGTAGCATGCCGTGTGTGCCAATCCGCGTCGGTGGAAGGGCACCAACATCGCACAGACACAGCCCAGTCCTCACACACGTTGGGGGGGCGGAGAGGAGAGGGGGAGGGCGTTGTCGCTGTCTCTCGGAGAAGGTGGTGGGTCCTGGTCCTTCCGGGGGCCCTGCACCGGGATGCTTTTTCCTGAAGTTGCGCATCGTCCAGAGCTCTCTGGAGGTGCCCGCATCGTCCCGAACGGTGGAGGGAGCCCAGAGTGGTGGCCCGAAAATCACCAGGCGCCGAAGAGCGGGGTCAGGAGGCTTATGGGGTGATACCGTGGTCGGGGCCATGACATCTCCCGGATCTCATGCCTCCTCTTTCTTCACGCGTCCCTTGTCTCCCCCCTCGTCCGCGCACATGCCTCGGGCCATGATGCGCTAAGCCACCTCTTCTTGGCCTCCCTCCGCGGCAGATCCGATAGCAGATGGTGTCAGAGGATCGCGCCGCATCGGCGATGCATCGTAGATGGTTCGATGTGGAGCTCGATGCTTTCTCCACGCCAACGTCGCCGATGCATCGGCGACGCGGCGCGGACACCTCCGACACCACTTACAGTCGAGGCGCTGAAGAAGGAACCCTTTTCGTTGGGGAGGGGCTCGGTGTTCCTTGATTGTTTCACAGCTTGCCTCAGGTTTTCCTTATGTTTTCGATGGGGAATCGAAGTTTAACTTTGGAAAAAGGGGCCTCGTTCCATATTTAGGGTTCCTTCGGTCCTAACCTTAGGTCAACCCCCCGACTGTACTCGGAACCTATCTCTCTGGGAGTCCTCCACATGCAGTCTCGGAGGTCCACGCGATCTCCTCGGGTCCGCACCGCAGCCCGCCGCCTTCGGCCTCCGGTGGCCCCCACTGGGCCCACTGGGCGGCCAAGAAACGACTCGGGAGGAGAGACCGGGGGGTAGCCGAGTGATCTCGATGTTCCTCCTCCTCCTCCTCCTCCTCCTCCTCCTCCTCCTCCTCCTCCTCCTCCCTCCTCCTCCTCCTCCTCCTCCTCCTCCTCCTCCTCCTCCCTCCTCCCTCCTCCTCCGCTCCTCCTCCTCCTCCTCCTCCTCATCGCTCCTCCTCCTCCTCCTCCTCCTCCTCCTCCTCCTCCTCCTCCTCCTCCTCCTCCTCCTCCTCCTCCTCGAGTGGCCACTGGGGGTAGCCGAGTGAGCTCGATGTTCCTGGGCCGGCGCAGGACCCCCTCGAGATCCACCGGCGCCGCGCCGGGGGGCGTTCTGCGCGCCCGGGGGGGGGGGGGGCACCTCGGGCGGGCCGAGGGGACGGGTGCTGTCTGCCGGCCACCACCGGCGGAGGAAGCGCGCCGCCGACGCCGGGGAGTTCGAGGTGGAGGAGGCCCTGCAGATCCAGAAGCAGCTCCACGAGGTCGGGCGTTCTACCCCTGACACCGATTCCTTCCCATGCGGGGAGGACGAGGAGGAGCAGGAGCAGGAGGAGCAGGAGCAGGAGCAGGAACAGGAGGAGGAGGCCCTTGGGCGGGCCCCTGTCAGCCACGCGCAGGGGGGGTGGGGGGAGGGGGGGGGCTTCTCAGAAGCACCTCTGCTTCTTAGAAGGCGCGGGCCTTATCTGTAGATGTAAGGCCGGGGCCTTTAAGAAGCAGCCTCCTTCTAAGAAGCCCTCCCCCCTCCCTCCACCCCCTTGTGCGCGACGCCAAGCCTGGGAGATCGTCACGACCAATCTCCTGCCCCCGCCCCCCGGGCCAGGGAGGGACGAGGGGAGGAGAAGGGGGGAGGGGAGGGCAGAGGGTAGGGGGGAGGAGGAGAGGGGGGGAGGGGAGGCCGGGGGGATTAGTGAGGTGCGCTCGCGCCATATCTGACGTCCTACCCCTGACACCGATCCTTCCCATGGGGGGAGGAGGGAGGAGGAGGAGGAGGAGGAGAGAGGAGGAGAGGAGGAGGAGGAGGAGGAGGGAGGAGGAGGAGGAGGAGGAGGAGGAGCACAGGCCAGGACCAGACCAGGAGCAGGAGCAGGAGCAGGAGCAGAGCGAGCAAGCAGGAGGAGGAGGAGTTCCCCTATCTCCTGTCCTTCCCCGCCTGCTCCTCCTCTTCCTCCTCCTCCTCCTCCTCCTCCTCCGCCTCGTATCCCTCCTCCTTCTCCTGCCCCTCCTCTCCCTCCTCTCCCTCCTCTCCCTCCTCCCCCCTTCCTCTTCCTCATCCTCCTCCTGCCCTGAGATCCGACGTTGCGAACAACATACAAGATCGCGAAACACCCGAGCGATACACCCCATCTTGCTGCTGCATTGTTCGAGCCAGATCGATGTGTGATGATTGGTCTCTGGCGTTGCAAAAAACAGTCGCAAACGCCCAGTGTGAAAAGATGCTGCGCCCCGATCTCTCCCACAGGGGGGGAGGGGGAATCGGCTGCCCCGGGTCGATCTCGGGGCCCGCGCAAAGGGCGTCTCGGACGAGCGGTTCCAGGAGGCCCTGAAGCGGCTGCAGCACAGGCACCCGCGCGGGAGGGAGCGAAGCGAGCAAGGAGTTTCAGCGATTCAGCGGCGTCTGCATGGCCCAGGAGTCGACGACGACGACGACGACGACGACGACGACGACGACGACGACGACGACTGCCGACGACTGCGGACGACTGCCGACGACTACCGACGAATACCGACGAGTACCGACGACAACGACGACTACCGACTACCGACGACTACCGACGAATACCGACGACTACCAACGACTACCGACGACTACCGACGACGACCGACGACTACCGACGACGACGATGACGACGACGATGACGACGGTTACGGCGACGACGACGGCGACGACGACGACCGATGACTACCGATGACGACGACAATCGAATAATGAAACAATAGAGATATTAAATGATATCAGAGACCAGCCCCAGTCATGATCGTGTTAGGGCTCTAGGGCCATGGGGCTGTAGGGCTATGGGGTTATAGGACTATAGGGCTATAGGGCTGCTGGGCTATAGTGCTATAGGGGCTATAGGACTACAGGGTTATAGGGCTATAGGACTATATGGCGATAAGGTTGTAAGGATATATGGATATAGAGCTATTTGGCTATAGTGTTATAGGCGCTAGAGGGCTATAAGGCGATAAGGCTAAAGGGTATAGGGGTATACGGCTGGCTACCGGGCACCCGGACACCGGGGCACCTGGGCACCCGGGCACCCGGGCACTTGGGCACCCGGGCACCGAGGCACCTGGGCCATTGGGCACCCAGGCACCCGGGCACCCGGGCGTGCCGCCGAAATCGGCGGCGCACCTGACCTAACCATATGAATACGCTAGGACCCCTACAGAGGCAAGCTCAGATTTGGGGAACAAAATTTGTCGGAGGTCCGCGCGGATTTCTTGGATCGGCGCTGGGCACTGGTGGCGGCGTCGCCCCTGGCACGCTCCGCGCGCCAAGGAGGGGGTCCGGCGCCGATCCAAGAAATCCACGCGGACCTTCGAACATGTATGTTTATGGTTTTTCTTCTGTTCACTGGAAGTCGCCGACGACGACCTACGGGGACGAGCGGCGACGACGAAAGTCGCCTCGAACTCACTGTGTAGGGTCCACGCTGGCACACATTTCAATGTATTCTAGACGCTTCGCGTAACCCCACCAGCCCATCCAGAAACGATGCCCAGGCGAGTTGCCCTGGTCAGGGATGTGGGGGAGCATGCAGTGGAAGAAGGGGGTGGGGAAGCCGTCATAGCCCAAGAAACGGGGGATAAAAAAGGAATCGAAGATGGAGGAGGAGGAGGAGGAAGAGGGAGAGGGTAAGGGGGACGAGGAGGAGGAAGAGGAGGGGGCGGAGGAAGAAGTGCAGTGGGAGGGGCGAGGAGGGGGGAGGGAAGAGGAGGAACAATCGGAGGAGGAGGAGGAGGAGAAGGAGGGCGAGCAAACAGACCCGAGGACTCTTGAATCTAGTTCGGTGTCTCTTCGGATGTCGCTGGAGCGCTTGTTGGAGTCCTCTTGCAGTATCTTGGGGGCATCTTGGCGGCCCCGTGGGCCTTTTGGAGCGTCTTGGGTGCCTCGGGAGAGCCTCTTGGGGCATCTTGGGGGTCTCTTGGGAGCCTCTTGGGGACCTCGCGGGGGCCTCTCGAGGCCTCCTTGGCCCCTCTTGGGGCCCTCTTGGGGCACCCGTCGCGGCCATCTTGGCGCCATCTAGGACGAATTCGATCAAAGAAGGGGGTCCCTAATTAGGGCCCTCCCTTTGCAGCTCCTCAGGTCGCATTTTGAACCCGTCTTTGAGCGCTCTTGGTGCCTTCCTGGGATCCTCTTGGGCGGCTCTTGGAGTTCTCTTGGGCCTTCTTGGAGCCAGGAGCCATCTTGCAGCACGCCTCATTGCACGCCACCTCCATGGCGGTTAGCCAGGCTGAGTAGGGGAGGAGGAGGAGGAGGAGGAGGAGGAGGAGGAGGAGTAGGAGGAGGAGGAGGAGGAGCCGGAGGACACTCTGCCTGCTCGCGCACCCCACTCACACTGTTCAGTGGCTTCACTCGAAGACCTCGTTGCGGTCGTCGGCAGTGGGCGTCATCGTGTCGCTTGTCGCCGGAGAGGGGGGTGGTTCGGTTGCTTCGAAATTCTGCGTTCAGAGCGCACTAGTGTCGATTATCGTCTGGGAATCTATGAGAGCGCCGATGAGCGTCGAGTTTTCGTCGATTACTGTCGACCAGCGCCGACCCGCAAGAGCCAGCAAGATCTGGTATGAGAGGCTCCCGCGAGTTGCCACCGAAGGAGCGCTGCCGCTCGCGCTTTGCAGCAGCGCTGCCAGCCGCCTGGAACGAATCACAAACACACACACACACACACACACACCAGCCGCTGCCACGGCGATTGCGACTTTCGCTCGTGCGCAGCCTTGCAAGGGTAACGTTTTTGTCCTGCGCGAGCCTTGCGACGTTGACGTGTTCGTCGCGCGCAGCTCTGCAAGGAGAGCGCGTCTGCCTCTCTCGCGAGCCCTGCGGCGTTGACATGTTGGTCGCGCGCTGCCTGGGTCACGGTCTTGTCCTGCGCGAGCGCTAAACAAAAAGACTCTCGCTCGTGGAGGGGGAGTCTGCTCACAGCCCGCATGCTGCGCCGGCAGTGCCTGTCCGTCGAAGGTGGGAGCCGCTGCCGAGTCGTGCGCGCTGGGGCTGCCGGGCGTGGTGCATCTCCCTGCGCCTCGGCTCCAGCGGCGCCCCGGGGTGCGCCCCGGGGCAGACGCCTGGGCCCTCAGGAGCGAGAGAAGGACGTACATGTACATGAATCCACGCTGGTTTCGAGAGTTCGCATTGCGCGAATGTTCGTGTCGCGCGGCAGGTCTCGCGGGTCAAGGGGCCGTGTTCATGTACATAGTTGGGCGCGTACGTCCTTTGTGGGCTCCCTGTGGGCGTCAATACGCCCCAGTTCGGAGAGCCCGGTATGGAGCGGAAGGGGACCCCTGGGGCCCAAAAGAGGCAAGAGAGGTATTCAGGATTTCGTGATTCAGGGGGAGGGGGGGGTCACGTTGGGGGGGATCTGATTTGAGTTGTCTTGGAGGGCTCCAGTGGGGTCTGGGCCGAAGGCAGCCCTTTATGGCTGGTCTTGGGGGGGGGTCTAAAACTGTTCGTCTGGGAGCGGTGTGACCCCCTCCCTTTCATTCCCTACCTAGGCTCTGCCTAGGAGGGTTCTTACTCTCTGGGCTTAAAGGGCCGGGCAGTGTAAATCGCCCCGGGCGGTTCCCCCAGTATCCGCCCCTCGGTTCCCCCAGTTACGTCCTTTTAGCCTAGCGTCGCTTATCTCATCTTAGCTTAGCCTAGCTTAACTTAGCTTAGCTTAGCCTAGCCTAGCTTAGCTTAGCTTAGCTTCGCTTAACTTAGCTTAGCTTAGCCTAGCCTAGCTTAGCTTAGCTGTGGGCCATGTTGAGCCCTTAGTGGGGCAGCTTGAGCCCTCAGGATTCACGAAGGTTTCGCACATAGCTCCGGCCGGGAGGCATGAAACCCGACTACTACTACTAACCGCTACTGCTACAACTACGACGATGAGGAGAAGGAGGAGGACGGCGTTTACCGCTCCTACTAATGTTGCTTTCCTAGAGGCTCCAACTCCTAGGTAAGGTCGCACTGGGATACTTACAAAATCTGGAGTACACACTTCTCCACCCCTCCAATGTATCGCCCCCCCACTAGGCAACGCCCGATACCCCTGCGTCCCACCTTCAGCTGCGCCCCAGATCGGAGGGCCTCAGCTGGGGAAACCGTCAAATGAAAGTCTTGGATCAGCCTGCGCATACCCAGGAGCGAACTGTATGTGCCTCCGCGGACCTGCCGAACGAGGAAAGGCGGGGAAGAATGCACAGGAGCAGCCCCCGAGGAGGAGGAGGAGGAGGAGGAGGAGGAGGAGGAGGAGGAGGATAAAGTGGAGGAGGACGAGGAGGATGAGGGAGGAGGGAGGGGGAGGAGGGAGGAGGGGGAGAAATAGGCGAGGAGGGGGAAGAGGAGGAGGAGGAGGAGGACAATGGCGAGCTTGGGGGCTTCTTGGGGCGTCTTGGAGGCCTCTTGGCGGTCACGGGGCCTCTTGCGTACCCAGGGGAGCCTCTTGGGGCCTCTAGGGGGTCTTTTCGGAGCCTCTTGGAGGCCTCTCGGACGCCTCTGGGGGCCTCCTTGGCGCCTCTTGGGGCCCTCTGTCTTGGGGCGCTCTTGGGGGCTTTCGAGGCGCTCTTGGGGCCATCTTGGAGGACATCGAACAAAGAAGGGGATGGTCGCAATTAGCCTCCCCCCCTCGGGAGCCCCTAACATCGCCTTTTGGACCCCTCTTGGAGTGCTCTTGGGCACTCTTGGGGCCGTCTAGGGGCTCGGCCCTCTTGGCGCCATCTTGAGGCAGGGAAGGCTATCGAAAGCGAACAGGCGACGATGCAACAATCAGTGATGTTTGCTTGGTTTTTGACGGATTTTGGCCTCTTGGGGACCTCCTTGGAGGTCTCGGAGGCCTCTTGGAGCCGGTTTGGTGCGTTCTTGGGGCCTCTTGGAGCATTTTGGGAGCCATTTTGAGTCATCTTAGGCTATCTGGAGCTATCTTGGAGGTCATCTTGGGTTCTCTGAGGCCCTCTTGGAGCAGTCTTGGGCGAAGAAGTACACTCTGGCGCCTCATGACTGGCCCCGTCCAGGTCCAGGGGAGAAGATAGGGCGAGGGGTCAAGACATAAACCCCTCCCCGATGGTGAAAAGGGGATTGGAAGAGGACCCTCCCTAGACCACCTACGCCCAGAGGGCTGGTGGGATTTTTGTTTTGCAGCACTGGCCAACAGACATGCTCGCGCCGTGCAACAAAACACATGACGGGAGTTGTTTTACATTTTCGGGTCTCGAGGGGCCTTCGCCGGGCCTTGAGACCTTCAAAAAACGATTCAGGTTTTTCGGAGATAACCGTTATATATATATATATATTATATAATATATATATATATATATATGTATAACCCCATGCTCACGAGAATAAGCACTAGGGGATAATAAAGTTCGGG